AGGCTTTAGGGTTGGGGTTTAGAGTTTCAAGGTTTAAGGTTTGGAGGTTAGGGCCTAGGGTTTGGGGGTTTTAGGGTTTTAGGGTGTAGGGTTTAGGGGTTTTAGGGTTGGGGATTTTAAGGTTTGGGGGTTTAAGGTCTTAGGGTTTAGGGGGTTTACGGCTGCATAGCTCGTTCTGGGGGAGCCTAGGGCGTAGTAGAGGGGGATAGCTAGGAAGACCCGTGCAGTCCACCTTAAGTAGATAGAATATGGGGTATATGGGGATCTTTTTAGAATATACCCAAAGCCATATTCTATCCACTTGAGGGGGACTATACTTTTGTTGGATTGAGGTTGTTGGGCTTGAGGGTTACCATTTGGGGTTTGGGGGTTTCGGTGTCGGGTTGAAGGTTTCGGGGCGTTTGAAGTGCACAGGGCTTTGGAGGTTAGAGTATTGAGGTTTACGGTTTGAGGTCTTGAGTTTGGAGTTGAAGGTTGAAGGTTCGGGGTTGGGGGCTTCGGGCATTATGGTCGAGGGCTGAGGGTTTAGCAGTTCCTTTGGCTGTACTAATTGCTGGACACGTTTGTTCATTCTTGTCTTATGTGGTGGTTGGAGATTGAATCTAAATTCACAGCTGAAACCCTAGACCTAAACCCCCTGAACCCTACACCCTAAAGTTCTGGTCAGGGCTCAGCTGAAGGTAGTCTGTACAGTAGTGCATCGTATCAAGCAGCATGGGAATGTATCAGAATTACCCGGACAGAACACTAAGTAGGCAACGGCCGTAGTCACTGTTGAAGTCTCACACTTAACGGCCGACTTCTGAAGTCTCATACTTAGATGAGGTTGGAATATTGTATATTGGGGTTATACCGGGATAAGGGAAAAGAAAAGGGAAACGACCATAATGGGGGTATGTATGGTCACGCCTGGCCGCCGCCCCCGCCCCCACCCCCTCTAGGCCTCCTTCCCTGTCCTCTCCCGTTCTGTGTAGATGGTTGTGGCTGGGGCTTGGGAGGACCTTTTCTTCCCCCTGTGCGTATGGTTGGGGGTGGCCCTCCCCCTCTGTGGTGTGGTTGGGGTTGGTTGGGATAGGTCCTCCCTATTTGTTGTGGGTGTGGGTGGGTGTGGGTCTCACAAATGCAGGAATTACGTAAGCCATTTGTAGGCTTATATGGTACGGGGATGAGAGAAATACATTTTCATGACTGAACAGGATTGTCTAAGGATGTGTAGATCTACAGATGGATCATCATTCCTATGCAGCTTGTGCAGTGTTTCTGAGGTTTTCAGAGGGTCTTAGAAGGAGACATTAGCTTCATGGTGGAATATTAGGAGCTTTCGCACAGCCCGAAAGATCGTGCCGCAAACTGGCCCATCCCTGTAACTGTTGGCATTTTTTTTGAGTCTTGTGCACCGAGTCAGTGTCCAACAGTGCCGACTGTCACGGAGATGGCGCGTTCCAGACACCCAGCGGAGTGCTAAAAAGACGACAGTTGCGGACATTCCGCGCGTTGCCCCCCCCCCCCTCCCCCTCCCAGACCATACCATTGGGGGGGGGGGGCAGGAACGCCAGACGCCTGTTTAGGGTTTAGGGTTTAGGAAGGGCCCCCAGTCTTGAGACCCCTATACTTTACCCCTCCTCCCAAACACACCTTCGCAAGCCCTTGTTTAATGTGTTTAAGTGCTTGACGCAGCGCATCCCAGTATCATGGGGACCCATGAGGAACATAATCCGCAGATATGGGTTTAGGGTTTAGGACCCTAAGCACCCTGGACCTTGAGAATGATTCTACAAAGGTCGTGCAAAGATCTTTAGTATCAACAGTAATACGTGGTCCCCGAGCAAACGAGGTTGTCGGCTCGGGCAGAGAGATCCGGAAACAGCGACTTCCTGAGACAAGCTTACTTTGGTCAGGGTTTAGAGTTTACTGGGTTGCTGTTAAGGAACTTTAATTAAGTCACCATAATGGGTATATATAGTAAATAATAGGGTTTCCCCAATATAGTAACTTAATTTAAGTTCCTTAACAGCAACCCAGTTTAGGGTCGAGGGTGAAGAAGTAAGATAGAGTGTCTGAATGGAATTTGGGCTTTCAGGTGTTAAATGGGGATGCCGAGAATATTGTGGAGAGTACAGGAGCCCAAACCTTTACGATGTGCTTCTGGTGTTGGCCTCGTTCGAACTTGGAGTGCTCATGAACAGGACCGACGTTTCCCGTTTTCGGGGCGCTTAGGTGATTTGCCGCCTTTTGAGGATTCAGGGTCGAGGGAATGGCATGGGCCCAAAATCAATGAACATAATTGTTTTTTCGGCTTAAAACCCTTGCTTACGCCTCTATAGCCTTCAACAGACCCTTCTTTCAGAAGTGCTTTTCTAGACTCCCGGCAAAAGCCTTTATCGCCAGCATGCTAAGGCAACATGGGACCAGGTATGAAGCCATCGCTTTCTGGAGCGCTGCCCGCAAGAGGTGCGAGTCGCTCCAAAAAATTGCCTACTTGAAGCGTCCTTAGTGAGTAGGTCAAGAGTCAGGACAACCGGAGTCATTTCATGGCCTATGTGGGTTATAAGTGTACCTACTAAATCCTGGGGACCCTCCAGGCAGAGAATCCTGAAGAAAGACCACCATAATCAGGGTTTAGAGTCTAGAGCTCCATTTCTACTATTCCCTCTCTAAGGTCTCCAGCCCTCCCTAGCTAGAGAAACCCCGCAGGTCAGCGGGCGACCCACATGCAGCCAAGCTCAAAATTGGCAAGTGAGGTTGAACGTACAGCTGAAGGAGTATAGGCTTCAGGTGTGCGGGTTTATAGTCCCTCTTCAGTAGATAGAATATGGGGTCTATGGGGATCTTATTATAATATACCCAAAGCCACATTCTATCTACTTAAGGGGGACTATAGGGCAATATGATAATATCCTTCTGAGCAAAATTCAGCATGTTCTCATTCCTAACTTCTCCTCATCCATATACAAAGCCTCTGGAGGGGAAGCAGTCCCTGAGACTTGAGGTTCAGGCTTTGTGGGCTTAGGGTTTAGAGCTCAGGGCTCAGGATTTAGGGTTTAGGAGTTGGGGGCATTGGGGTTTACGGTTTAGGGTGTAGGGGGTTGTGTCTTTGGGGGCTTTGCATTCGGTAACGTAAGGTGAATAACAACCTCAATCCCCAGGCCTAGGACCCCAATTTAGTTTGGGGTTGGCAGGGCCTAGGGATTAGGTTTAGGGCGTAGGGAAATGGTCTTCGGGTTTCAGGGTTTTGGGTTACCCTTCTCCAAACTAACATGGAACCAAAGGGGATATAGGTTGCTTCGTTCCGAGAGGGTAGGCAGAAGCGCGCATGGATAGGTAGGACGATTATTTCTGGTCATCCTTCTGCAGGCATTGTACACGAAACCCTACACCCGAACAGCTTGTTGTGATTAATCCATTTCCCGCACAAAACCGCCTCCCCACCAGCCTTACCATGAACCGTGGCAATATAGTACCATCACATGACGGGGAGTCTATTATTATAACCATTACGATTAGTATTCCTACTATTACTACTATTGTGATTATTACTCATATACCTATTATTATTACCATTAATATATGCTGATAGGGGGTGGGGAGGTTTCTTGTGGGAGCTGTCTTTTCAAGCTCCTTTTCTCATGCTTTTGAAGCTTCGGGGCTCGGGAAATTCAGTTTTTAACCCCGGCCGTTGTCTGAGCTATAACCTAAACTCCTTCAAGGTGGGTTATATGGGGGATTATACTGGGGAGTATTATCGGGGTTATTGAACGGGATACTAGGAGTGTAGACTATAGCTATTTTGTTCACAGCCAAACGCTGCTTGAAATTGAGCTGTTTTGGTATACATTGTGCGGCATGCTGCTTTATATAGAATATGCACGGTATGTATAACTAGATGTGTCCATTACATGCATACGCACATGTACACCATATGTATTTGTGCGTATGTACATGCATGTGTGTGTGCGCGGGTGTGTGTGTGTGTGTGTGTGTTAGAGTTTATGTGGATGGAACACAGCACGCCAGTTATTGGCCGCCCTTCAGGCTAGTGAACTGTTCCTTGCTCAGGCAGGAGGAGGTTTATTGCTTGATCGTTGCGTTCCTTACATGTTTTTTTTCTTCTTGCATGCAGTTGATGCCTGGCAGAGGAGCTCCCCAGATCTTATTATTTGGCTTAGGGGTCATTAACCTGCGTACTAATTACGCCGCCCTGAGACTCCAAGAAACATATGTCTCACGGCTTTCAGATAGTCTCCTGTCTGGTCATCTGAGTATGGTAAAAGTCCTTTCGGAAAATGCGCCGTCACCCACAGAAGGAACGAAAACCACCAAACCCTCGACCCCCCCCAAGCCCTAAACCCTTAAACCTTTATTCCCTATACAGCAAGTGCAAGGCAAGCGGTCGCGGACAAGCAGGCAAGGGATAACGTGGCCTGGAAGGCGAAAATCGACACTGGTCTGCCATGGGATTGATGTACAGTTTAGGGTTTAGGGTAGGTTGTAAACGCGTAGGGTTTTAGGGTTTAATAGTTTGAGGGTTTAGGGTTCAGGGTTCTGCAGAAGGCATCATTCTTTTCGTATCCAGCTTCGTGATCAGGAGCTTTTGCGAGTTTGCCCCCAGCAAGAAATCCCATCAGTTGACGTCAGTTGAGAATATGTGTTTCTTGTTCGACGCCTGCTCCAAGCATCGGCTCGCATCGCCCAGCATGGCCTGCCTTCCAGATCGTGATATGCGCCTCACCGTTAGGCTCCTCTCAGGGGCTCCCGTGGAGGTGGTCGTCAAGCCGAGCATGAGAGTTCTTGCCTTAAAGCTTCGCATTGAGGCAGCTGCCCAGCTGCCACAATACCGTGTGGTGCGTTCCCTCGTTTGGGACACCACTGAGCTTCCGGATGAGGCTGGGCGATTTAAAGCGACCTCACCCAACCTCACCTTAAATGGTGGTTTATACAGGGAATAATACCGAAATGGCCCTGAATTGAGAATCAAAACTATTCTAAATTACCTTGATGAGGCATCACTCCAGGAGCTTGGCATTGATGGCGGTGAGCTGTTGGCCCTGTTGTCGGATGTGCTGGTGGGAGACTTTGAGTTCTACATCCCTGGCTGTCCAACTTGTGACCATGGTTGCGAGATTCAAAGTGTGCGGTTCTTTGCAGACGGCACTGCTTTGATTCAAGCTGAGCCCTTCCATCGCTTCGGCATCCAGGACAACGAGCCTGGCACGGCAAAGTTTCACTACAAGCTTGGTGAGCTGAAGGGCGCGGAGAGAGAGCTGGAATTCGTAGAGGCTGACCCCCCAGAACCAGCGACAGTGCCGGCAGTCTACACTGGTACTTTGTATGTGAGCACAACGGATCCAATGTACCGCCGGGTGAAGATCCCAGTGTTGGAGATCGACGTGGAAGACGTGCAATACTTGAAGCGGCAGGCCCGGACTGCCCTGCACCAGAAGCTCGAGTACTTCTTCGGGTTGGGTCGCTCACGACACCAGGTCATGCAGATTTGCTACAACCCTTCTGCCATCACGACCTACGAAGAAGAGGTCCGCGAGGTCTTTTGGTGGAATTGGCCATCAATGCGGCATCAGGAGGATGCCGAGGAGGCCATGCTTTCCCTTGCCGACAGCTACGACTACCCCCACCCCAAGAAGATCCTAAAGAAGAAGAAAGCGCAGAAGAGAACAGAGGCGGGAGAGGCAGAAGAGAGCAAAAAGCGGTTACGGGCGAAGGTCAGAAAGGTCAAGGCCCCAAGATGGAAGTAACATGCCATGAAAGATGTCCACAGGATGTCCACAACGCTGCATTGTACAGTTTAAACGAACTCCGCACGCCTTGTGGGCTTGAGGGCACGCTGCATGCATTTAGAAACGGCAAGGCGGCAACACCCTTCTCGTTGGTTGGGCGCATGGGTCTGCACGCTACGTTGATAAGTGCGGTCCCAAGTGCTTGTGTTTTATGACGTGTACAGTGTACAGTGATGGGTTTAAAGACGAATCAAACTCCTTTGTGGAGAGCTTCACAGAAATGAGACGAGTGGACAGTGCTTGCTGCCATCCGCCATCCCCAGGACTAGTTCGCGGAACGCTGGGAGATGTTGGACCCTAATATATTTACGTGGTCACTATTACTGGGTGGGGGCCCAACCTAGCCTATGCCTCTTTCTTGCTTGTAGCTTGTTACTTGGAAAGCAAGACATTCCCAAAACTGCAAAACAACAAGGAGCAAGAAAACAACGATAAGGTTGAAGGTGATAAGGGACTTTGCCCGGGGTGCTTTAAACAACCCTAAACCCTGGCCAAACCCAAAGCCTTGAACCTTTTTCAGTCGTCCCAATGCACAAGAATTAAGACCAAGGACTCTAGCCCAGAGCCAGGCTCAGCAGGGCCGCTTCTCCTTAACAATCGCCCTAGCCCCCTTTTTGAATAATTGTGCTATACTGGGATTTCTATGGACTGTGCCTTAGCCTGGCAAGCTCTACATCATAAAAGTTTTGCTCCTGAAGCGCCTAATTCATGCACCAACCTTAGCATGAAAGTCCCAAAGCAGGAACCGTTACATGCCTCCACGTCACCCGTTTCTGAGAACATGGACCGCTGAGTGATTAGTAGGATGTAGGGCTTAAGTTTTGGGGTTTAAGGTTCTGAGGTGCTTCAAGTATATGTCGACAAGAATATTAGTGCAGGAAATATCTGGGTACTTCTTCTAGCCATAGCACAATCTTAGGCTTCCAAGGTTCGCTGTTTGAGTCACACCAGTGTCCCCGACCTTCCACCCCGAAACTTACACCGCAATGCCCAAAACCGCCTCCACGCTTCAACTCTACACTCTGAGCCCTGTTCCATAAACCCGAAGCGCCACATCCACAACACGTGAGCCATAGTCTAAACTCCTTAAAGGGGGTTATATAGGGGATTATATAGAGGTGTATTATAGGGCATGTTAAGGGGGATACTAGAAGTTCAGACTATAGCTCGCGTATCCCTAGAAAGGTGAGACCCTCAAAGCACTAAGCTGAGGATACTGCGGCAACGACGGCAGAGAGACTGAAGCAGGCTGTTCAGAAAGCTCCGGAGCATGGGCTTTGCTTTAATGTGGGGGCTTGAATGTGGGGGTATACACAGACTGGGGGGGACCCCACTTTAGATTCCAAAGTACATAGAAGCGGCGATGCAAAAGGGGGCCCCCAATTTTGGAAGCCCCATTGGTGATGGGGGGCTAGGCTTTATGGTTGGGTGGTTTCAGAGTTTAGGGTTTGAGGGTTCAGTCCAGAAGTGTCAGGGTTTGCCATGTTAGAGGTTACAGTATAGTGCAGTGATGGCCCAGGGTTTGGCGTGTTGATCTGGCTGTGATTTCTCTACAGGCCCTTCGTTTCATGGGGACCTATCTTTGCAAGATCCTGCAGATTTGGGCGAGAACACGTCCCCTCAAAACAGTCGGATAGTAGACGCAACAAGGGGCAAACTGAAACATTGGAATAATCGAGTAAGGAATTGCAATACCATCGGGACGATGATATACAGCGTAATAAGGCCTAATGGGATTGTAAACCTGGGGGTTACCTTTGGGGCATAAACTTGTAACCTACAAGCCTTAAACCCTGAACCCTACACCCCCAAAACCCCATACCCTAAAACCCAACCCTAAACCCTACTGCCGGGGCCCATGGCTTGTGATCCGGGACATTTTCTTCGCAAGGGGTGTAGACGGTATAGTCCATGGGTGTCAGAGGTGCCCTTAGACCCATCAAATCCCGATGGTTTTCAGGTTCAGGGTTTTAGGGTATCAGGGTTTAG